ACCATCCAAAACTAACTTAAAATTTCAAAAAGGAATGCATGCAAAAGCCTTAAAATTAGTATTTTAAGTCCCAGTTTTTCCAGTCTGTACCTGGTCCATCAGGCTCATCTGTATATCTCTGACAACCTGCTACACTGAGACAGGGAAGTTTGAAACCAAATATGGAATATGGGTAAAGATAAGGATGGGGGAAAAATCTCCAGCTCCTGGGAAACACATTCACCCAGTAGGCTCATTATTCACAGGCTATGATTCATCATCGCTATTTTTTAAGCCAGCATCATACTCTAATCACATTGCTAGGTTACAGGCCCCAAGTTACTTGAGAATAATAAAAACCAAATCCCTTAAAATGATACATTAGGCTCTTTCCCCACTATCATTTCTTCAGGGAGATCTTGTAATTAGTAAAACACACAAAACATCAAACCTAGAGATTACGTTGGATCTTGAACCAAAAGGGTTTCCAATGAAAAAGAGTTATTCAATGATTGTTCAACATGAGAAGTGGAGTCAAAACTTGAGGCAGGGGCGGGCGCTGTGGCACAGTGGTTTAAGCCCCTGTTTGGGACACCTACATCCCATATCAGAGTGCCTGGTTCCAGTCCCAGTTACTCCACGTTCCTGATCCAGTTTCCTGCTAATGAATAATCTAGCAGGAGATGGCTCAAGTACTTGGGTCCCTGCCACCCACATGGAGACCTAGATGGAGTTCCTAGTTTCTAGCTTCAGCTTGGCCCAGCTCTGGCTGTTGGAGGCATTTTGTGGAGTGATCCAGGGGATGGAAGATCTCTGTCACTATTCTTTTCAAATAAAATCAAAAAATCTTAAAAGAAAAAGGAAAACCTGAGGCAGGCAAAAAACAAAACAACAACAACAACAAAAAACCTATATCCAGCAATTCCACATAGGTGGCACTATTCTATTCAGATATGAAAAAAGCTTTGTGTGGTTCACTGGATCTACATTCAAGAATATGGTCTGTCACTGAACTCAAGAGTAACTCTCATACATGTTTTTTATTGTGCTCTGAGAAGCCATACTAGTGCCAAAAGCTGTGTTGGCAAAGGAGTTAATGATACAATCAATACACAGGTGCACAACTACAGTTTAATTTCACAACCAGCAGCCCCATGACATAAACTTAATGAAACATTTTAGCCATAGCCTCTGTATTAGTAGCTTGATATCATTCATCAAGATAACTCATGCAGCCAGCGCCACGGCTCACTAGGCTAATCCTCCGCCTGCAGCGCCGGCACACTGGGTTCTAGTCCTGGTCAGGGCACCGGATTCTGTCCCGGTTGCCCCTCTTCCAGGCCAGCTCTCTGCTGTGGCCCGGGAGTGCAGTGGAGGATGGCCCAAGTGCTTGGGCCCTGCACCCCATGGGAGACCAGGAGAAGCACCTGGCTCCTGCCTTCAGATTGGCGTGGTGCGCCGGCCACAGAGCCCCAGCCGCGGCGACCATTGGAGGGTGAACCAATGGCAAAGGAAGACCTTTCTCTCTGTCTCTCTCTCTCACTGTCCACTCTGCCTGTCAAAAACAAAACAAAAAAAAAAACAAAAAAAAAACACCACCTCATGCAGCAGTGATAAATACCAGAATAAATGATAAGAAAGGACATTTCTACTTAAGACTCATATGGGGCCAGCACTGTGGCATAGCACCCCATATGGTCGCGGTCCAAGTCCCAGCTGCTCCACTTCTGATCCAGCTCTCTGCTATAGCCTGGGAAAGCAGGAGAAGATGGCCCAAGTCCTTGGGCCCCTGCACCTGCATGGCAGACCCAGAAGAAGCTCCTGGCTTCAGACTGGCGCAGCTCCAGCCGTTGTGGCCATCTGGGCAGTGAACCAGCGGATGGAAGACCCCTCTCTCTCTGACCCTCTCTCTCTCTTTCTGCCTCAGCCTCTCTGTAACTCAGCTTTTTAAATAAAATAAATAAATCTTAAAGAAAACTCATCTGTCAGATGTACAGTCTGTTTCAATGCACACAAAGATCTGTTTTCAGTGAGTTTCTCCCCTGCTCTAAAACCAAAATAGTGACCAAATAAAAAATAAGTTCATTCATTCTAGCCAAAAATCAGTCTCTGGCCTCACATGCTACCAATCTCTGATAACTGTGAGAAATGGGACTTCATCATCATAAAATGAAGCCTAATGACAGTGATGATGTGACACTAACACACACTAGGAACAAGATATGGGGCCTGGGAAGAAAAAGAAAACACTGATTAAATAAACACATTCTGGATTAACAAAAGGCAGCTTCAAGTACTTAATATTCATGTGATGTTATTACCTTCCGGTAGCCTAAAGCCTCTATCCATACTAAGTCAATGGCTCAATCAGATACACACTGAAAGAAAACCAGTGTTGCCTCCAAAGCACGAGTTACTTCAGTCGATCAGAAAGCAGTATCAGGGACTGATACTGTGGCCCAGCCAGTTAAAACACTGCCAGCAGTCCACACTGGAGTGCAGGTTCAAGTTCTAGCTGCTCCACTTCTGATCCTGGTTCCTGCTAATGCACCTGGGAAGGCAAGAAGCATGGCCCAAGGGCTTGGGCCCCTGCCACCCACATGGGAGGCTAGGATGGAGTTCCTGGCTCATGGTCTCAGCCTGGCCCAGCCCTGGCTGTTGCAGTCATTTGGGAAGTCAATCAGTGGATGGTAGTTCGTTCTCTCTCTCTCTGTCACTCTGCCTTTCAAATAAATAAATAAGCAAACCTCTTTTAAAAATGTGTGTGTGTGTGTGTGTGTGTGTATCAGTAGCATGCATCTGGCCTAGCACTCAGGACACCTGCACCCATGTGAGGTTCCATCCCTGGCTCTGGCTCCCAATTCCAGCTTCCTGCTAACGCAGACTCGGAGGCAGCAGTGATGGCTCAAGTGATCCGGCCCCTGCCACTCCTGTGGGAGGCCCGGACTGTGTCCCCAGCTCCCACCTTGGCCTGGGCAAGGCCACTGTGGGCTTTCGGGAGTGATCTCGAGGATGGGAGCATTTTTTTCCCCTCTCTCTCTTTCTCTCCCCTTTCTTGTCTTCAATAAAACAAATTTTAAAAAACAAAAATCAAAAACAAATTTTCTTAATCAAAAAACATTCCTTCCAGAGGCAGCCTAGTATAACACTAAGAAAATGCTGACAGAGTAAAAAGCATTCTCGGGGGAAAAGGGACTGCACATTTATGATCTACTATACGAAAGGCACCTTCCTTCAGGTGTCAGATGCCTCCCACTTCAAGTATCAGGAAACCGAGTCTCTAAGAAGTAAAATAACTTGCCTGAGGGCGCAGCCAGCAAGCGACCAGGTAGAACTCCCGTTTGTCTATTTTATAGTAACTGCATTCTCCACATTACTGCTGCCTAGTTTAACTGCAAACTTTGTTTTTACTCAGCATTTTAAAATAATCACTCTTAAACTTTCACTGGGAGAAAATTCTAGGACTGGAATTCTGACCTTTTATCTAAAAATCTGCTATACTAAAACATAACCTTTTGATAAGCATCTGAAAAATATTTTACCATGAACTCTGAGAAGTCTGGATTTCTAAAAACAATGTGGAGATGTTTACAGGAACAGAAACTATAGTCCCAACTAAAGTTAAACAGTTCTTTTTGGCTCTTTGGCTTAAGTGATTTTCTCACTAAAACACTAGAATCCAATGGAAGAACAGCAAATGGAAAGATGTGAAAAGAATACCACATACGGGCAGACCCTGATGACACGAAATGGTCAATTTCCATGTCAAATGTTGTGAACAGAGGCCAGGCAGCAGCTAACCAATCCAAGGTGAAATATTCAAGTTGAAAACCTGACCCAGCTGTGAAAATGGATTTTAAAAAAATTTTTTTTAACCTACAAAGTCTGACTATGAACAAACATCTACAAATTTGTGTCTTAAAAATTCCTGAATTTGAAAAAGCTCCCCTGGATTACTTTGGCTGCTTCCAAATTCTTGCTACTCCAGGAGCACAATTATTTACCAGTTCAAAGAGTTCGCCGGGGAGCTGGCACCCAGGTACACACATGTCAGCTCTCCACCTGGACACCTGGTACGTGATATGCCATATTAAAGAGCACACAGTGCCTTTCAAGAAGTCATTAAACGGAACCTGTCTACATGTGCCAGACCCACATCCTGAACAATACGTTTTTTTAAAAAAGCACTCACTGATCCAGGTTCTTTAACCAGAAAGGGGGGTATGGGGGGGGGGGCAACCTGTCCACAAAATGTCCTCCCTAGCCTTGGTGCCCAAATGCCCAGCCGGAATGACGGGCGTAAATAGTTAAATCAAGGCCCACCAGGCTCCTATCGGTCCCCTATCTCCAGAGTTCTGGCGGCCCGCGGAGCTCTTGCATTTGAAGTCGTGAGCCGCCTCACTCCGGGACCTATGCGGTCCTAAAAGGGTCCGATTCTTAACTTTCTCACCGAAGTCCAGGCGCACATAAGGAATCTCCCAGGAAACCTGCAGGGCAGGTAGCAGGACCCAGTCCTCGAGCGCGAATGCGCACCCAGCCCTGCTGCGCCCCTCTCCCAAAGTCCGGTCAAGGGCTGGAAAACAGGACATCCTCTTCCGCGGCCACTGCCGGGCAGAGCCGGCGCCCACCTGTGTGAGGGGAGGGTCCGGCAGGTGGGCGGCCTCCCGGGGGCCCCCGGTCTCCCGAAGACGCCGAGGTGCCGCCCACAGCGCCACGAAGTTGCGCCGGAGCCCACGGCGCTCCTGGAGCCGCTGCCTGTGACAGCCGCGCCGGCCTCGAGGCCGCTGGGGTGGCGGACGCTCGGCGTGGCCGGCTGCGGCCACGACTGCTCGGGGGAAGCGCTCCCGGCCCGCGCCGCCTCCCACGCCCCGGCAGCGGCCAGGCGGGACACACTCGGCCTCGGGCGGCAGCCACGCTCCCGGCTCGAACTCCGACCCCGGCGGCCGCAGCGACCCTCCCCCGGCCACGACCCAGCCCGCCGCGAGCTGTCCCCACGCCGCTCTCCCTCCCGGGTCACTCACCCCAGAGCTGGGCAGCAGCAGCGCCAGGAACAGCAGCAACCGCCGGGCCGGCATGGTGGGGACGCGGCCCTGGCTCCGGGCCCAGCTGGCCGGCTCCGGGGGCGGCGCGGTCGGAGGACGGGCGGGGGCGCCGAGACGACAGCGCGGCAGCGGCGGCGACGGCGCCTCAGCGGACGCACAGCTCACTAGGTGGCGGCGGCACCCCCATTCCCGGCCCTATAAGCGCCCGGCACCGCCGCTTCTTCCGGTCGGGGCGGGGCTAAGAGGCGGGGCGGGGCGGGCCCGATCTAGGGGTGGGACCTATGGCCGGGTGGGGCGGAGCCTAAGGCGGGGCCCTGGGCGAAGCCTCTAGGGGGCGGGGCCTGGGTGCTCCGGGCCTTGGGCTGGCCGCGGCGGCTGAAGAGGTGGACCTGGCTGCGGCATGAGGCGGGTGGGAGCGCTGGACGACTGACTCCAGGGCCTTGTCCGAGAACTGGGGGAGACCGGCAACATGTTCAGGCGGCGCCACTGACTCTGCCCAGGGACCCACCGCGTGACTGGATCCGGGAGAGGCCGGGACCCCCGTCTCCATCTTCCTACCGAGGTGAGATCAGCCACCAGGTTGAGGAAGCGCCCTCCGGAGCGAGGATTTCGGCAATGGAAGGGAGATTCCGGCAGCCGGCGCCGGGCTCGGGGCCCGGGGTCCTCCAGCTGCGCCCGCTATGCCCCGAAGGCCCTCAGGAATTCCCCCTCGGTCGTGTCCAGCAGCCGTCAGTTCCCCTTTGGAGTGAACCGTGACCAAGTCACCCACCGCAAGCTGCGCGGACCGCCTCGTGTGTTTACTGGGACATGTGAAGACGCGGCTTCCAGGAGCTTGGGACCACCTGAACCACCACTCACTCGCTGAGGGGCCTGGCTGTGTTGAAGACTTGCACAAGGTCAAGTTGAAGGTCACAGAGCTGTCAGAATGAAAGAGCCGCGCCGCTGTTCAGTCTCTGGGGGCTGCCCTCCACCAGCCAGAGACGGGGAGGAAGGACATGTTTGTAACAAGAGAGTAAAATTCGCAGCCCAAGGAAAAAAAAATGTCTTAAATATCACGCTGGGAGGAAAAAGAAAAAGGGGACACCAACTTCTCTAAAATTTCTTGGCTTCCTCCTATGACGGCCTAAGATGTTTCAAGGTCTGGGCAAAACGACTAAGCAATGCTGGAGAAAGCAGCAAAGAAGTGTGGGGAGCCAGCAAATGCCAGCCACGGGCTCTCTGGGTCAATCCGATCCAAGTACAGCAGCCAGAGATGCTCCCGGGGAACCCGAACCTTGTGGATAGAATTCCCCATCCCTCACCCCCTCGTCCGGGCCCCTGTTAAGGGACAAATTCCTACTGGTGCCACTGAAGAGCGGGACGAATCTGGGCAGTAGATACACCTGCAAAGAGGTCTGGGTTGGCAGAGGTGTGGGAACACAGGCCCCAGCACTCCTGAGGGCAGCGGCTGGATGCCCAGGCAGGAGCCTCCCGCCCCGAAACTGGGAGGAGTTCTTTACGGGTTACCTGTCCCTCTCGCAAGCTGACAGCAGGATCTGTGAGCCCACGTGCCTCAGTGAAAGGAGAAGCTGACACAAAAACACTACTCTCACATCCCTTCTCCAGCGGTTTTCCTCGGAGATGGGGGGGGGGGGCTGCTGGAACCCAGGCAGCCCTTTTACAATGCAAAATGTCACCGTGACCCTGTAAGTGCAGCAGAGAGAACACAAAGCGGAACGCTGACCTCGATGTGACCCATGAATCAGTTTCAAAGATCCGGAAAGAAAAATGAATATCTGTTCCAAGGAGCCTGGACCAGGTAGATAGAGAAGGGGTCTTGGAGCCCCTTCCCCCACAGGTACCTTTGCTCCTGTAAGAGTCATCTGCCGGCATGCAAGTTGGGGAGGAGCGCATCTGGGCCCACGGAGTCCCCCTTCCCCCAGGGGGTCACTCTAATAAGCAGCTGTCTCCCTAGAACAGCCGCATCTGGGCCCACAGAGTCCCCCTTCCCCCAGGGGGTCACCTTATAAGCAGCTGTCTCCCTACAGCAGCCGAGCAGCTCGCAGAGGGGTAGGTGTGGTACAGCAGGCTCAGCTGCTGTTTGGGACATCCGCATCCCATATGAGTGCCTGGTTCAAGTCGGGCCACTCCGCTTCCCACCCAGCTTCCTGCTAATCCAAGGCAGCCGGTGTTGGCCCAAGTACTTGGGTTCTGGCCACGGACATGGGAGAGCCGGATGGAGTTCCAGGCTCCTGGCTTTGGCCTGGCCCAGCCCGCCTATTGCAGGTATTTGAGGAGTGAACTAGAGATTGGAAGATCTCTCTGTCACTCTTGCCTAATAGGTAAGTAGATAAACAAATCTTCAAAAAAGAAAAAACTTTATGGAAATACATATTCTGAAAATACTGCATGGATTTCAAAAATGTTTTTGCACCAAAATAATCTTGTCTTTTAATCCCATTTTTGTTGAAGTTCTCTTACACTTATCTTGACCTCAGATCGAATCCCCAGGCCTCCACGGCACTGTTCTATGTTCTTGGAATCTCTTAGGTAGCTGTTAGGCAGTGCTTAGACTTCACGAGTCCTCATGTCGCTCGTGTTTCTCCATTTAACTGGCAACTCAGACTGAGGAGCACCGGTTTTACTGATGGCGCAGCTGAGTACCGCTTCTTATGATACAGCAAAACCTGGCTAAAAAAATACAAACAGAAACGGAGATATTTTGTAGGGAGCCTTTGAAGTGGCTTGCTCATATAAAAAGACCTGAAAATATGCAGTAAATGACCTTTCTGTCTATCACACTAAATAATACCCGCTAAAAAAACCAAGGTTGTGGTCTTAGAGAGAAGATAGGCCCTCTTGCCACCAAGCTCGAAGACGTGTATGCATCAGTCAACAAAGGTGGCAGCAGGGCCTGAGTTTGTCCGAGGAGCTGGGCAAAAGTGAGATAACAACATCGTATGTTCTTTTTTCTTCGATCTGTGGTTCCCAATTTGGAGAGCTCTGAAAAACAGATTTCCAACACCTTCCAGTGCACCCTTCCCCTGCTGATTCAGAGTATCCAGGGACAGAGCCCAGAGACCTGTGTGTTTTACAGTTCCTTAGGTGAGGAGGCAGCCAAGTTTCCCGGGCCCCCAGCTCACTCCTGAGTTCCTGTGTTAATCCCTGGGGCCATTAATCCCGTTTGTTTATTTTAGCAAATGTCGCCCTCTCGTGGAAAAAACTGACCCAGCCTTCAAAACTGCGCTTAAAAATGAGTGTGAGGTTGATTTGCAGGTAGTTATTGAGGGAGAGGGTTGCTATTTTTGAAGAAGGAGACTTGAAAGAAAAAGCTCATAAATCCAGAAAAGGAGGTCTTGTTTGACAGCTTAAAGACTGTCTCAAGGGAACGTTGTCCTTAGAATAAATCATCCTCCCTGCTGTGGCCAGTTGCAAGCAAACTTAAAGCACGTGTCGGGTAGTTATGGGACAAATGAAATGATGGAGCAAGAGCCTCTGGCACCAGGCTAAATTTGCTTCTCCTTCCTGTCCTAATGTTTCAGGGAAATGTGAAAGGCTATTACTGCGCGCACGTTGGCTCGTGGGTAAATAGAACTTTGGCCCTTCCTGTTCCAGGATGACTGGATTTGAAAAAGATTGTGACACTCGTTCTAAGAACTTCTCTTTATCACAGAATCCCCCCCCCCACTCTTGGGCATTCTTTCTTATATTGTAAAAGGGATTATTTTTATTATATTATCAAGGTGAATAATTTGGGGCTGCTTTCCATTGTTTGGAAATGTGCAAATACATACTTGATAGGATCATCTCATATTATCTGCACAACATTCTCTGAAGCAGGTGTTCTTGGCTCCTTTTTACAGATGATACACACTAAACTTCAGAAAGGTGAACAGTCCGATGGGTAACACAGCTGGTAGGAGGTGCACCCTGATGAGAACCCAGCTAGCTATTTAATTTCAAAGCCTAGCTAACTCCAGACCTACACCATGTGCCACCATTAGCTGGGTGTGTTTTTTTTTTTTTCTTTTAAGGCATATTTATTTGAAAGAGTTACGGAGAGAGAGAAGGAGAGGGAGAAAGAGAGAGAAATCTTCCACCTACTAGTTTACTTCCCAAATGGTGAAATCAGGAGTCTGGAACTCCATCCCAGTGTGCCACACCTGACAAGGGACCCAAGCATTTGGGGCATCTTCTGCTTTCCCAGGTGCGTTAGCAGGGAGCTGGATTGGAAGAGAAGCAGCCACAGCTGGGACTCAAACTGGCACTTACATAGGGTACCAGCATCACAGGCTGTGGCTAAACCCGCTGTGCCACAACAGCGGTCCCAGTAGCTGGTTCTTACTCTTGTCCCTGTCCACAGTACTATTACAGGACCTGGAAATGTAGTTAGGCAATAGCCCAGACTGGCATGTCCCTGGAATGCTAATACCAACCACAAATTGGTACAAACACAGGGCGATGAGGGGGAGGGCACTGCCTCAAATAGCAGGTGAAGTCTCCTGATCTCACTTTGGGGTTGCACAGAAGAACGTCCGGAATGCAGCAGCCCTCCTGTGGCCAGGAACAGTGCATTCTGCCCCGTGCGGTAGCTCAGACTAATCCTGACTGGTTGTTAGTTCATTTGCCTCTGAGCTGCTGAATTTCACAAACATTTGCGCCAAGTCTCTATGCCACCATGGCAAATTGTCCAAAATGTCACCAGTTTATATTAACATCCTCGGGGCCAGCCCAGGCCAATGTGGAAGTGGCAGTCCTCTCAAAGAGCCCCACTTCCTCCCTGGCCAGCCCTTCCTAATCCCCCGGGGTCTGGCTTATTTCCACAGAACTCTCTGGAAAGTTCTCTGAGGCAGCTCATAAATATTTTTCCTCTTGTAAAATGCCAGGGGCTGAGCTTCCTCCTTTTTTCTCTTGGCCTGTCTTCAGTTCAGGTGTGTCAATAGTTCTCAACCTTTTCCTCCTTGGACATCACCATTTTCTGTTTTTTGTTTGTTTTCATCCTTCCAGAATGAAGTGTGTTTCTTAAGGCTTCATGGGGAGACCTTACCTATTCTCGCTCCTTTCTCCCTAGGCAAACTCCAACTCCATATTTTATATACCATGCCTTAGAGCCAAAAAGGACTTTTGCCATAATTTAATGGGCTAATGATTCAGTCTTTGACCCCTCCATGATTGGTTACCTGCCATTCATTCTTTCAACAAACAGCATTGAGGGTTTCTAAGCACAAAGAGTTGGTGCCATCAGGGAATAGCAAAGAGTTCACAAGTTGGTAAGAGGGACAAGCGAGGAGATAACAAGGACACAGGCCGGCTGTGGTAGGTGCGAGAAGGTGGTAACAGACTGGAGAAACAGAACTGTGGTCAAGAAAGAGACCAGCCGGTGGACTGAAGGAGGCGCGGGGGAAGAGCGGAAGTGTCGTCTGGGCTGTGCCTTTTGGCAGATTTGACCAGAAGCGGACATTCTAGGGTGACAGGGAGGATCTGAACAAGGGCCCGGGGAAAGGAAAGCACTGGGTGGTCTCCCAGAAGCTGGTGCTTGGCTGCTCCATGGAGGAGATGGGGCCGGGGCGGCAGGCAGGATGGGAGCGAGCGAGAGGCACCCTGAGGCCAGGCTGGACTCCGTTGGGCAGCAGAGCAAGACATGACTAACGTGCTTTGGAGGAAAGATAGGGGAAAGCCAGGCATTGAGGCTGCGACGAGACTGTGGGCAAGGATTATTTTGGTCTTAGTCTGTAACGAGAAAAGTCATGAAAGGACAAAACCCACAGAAGAGACCTTGCAAGGCAGAACAGGAAGCATCTGACTGTACAGTGATTCCAACAAGACCAGAAAGGAGGAATTCAGCAGCATCTACCAAACGTTTGCTTAACTCCTACCATGTTGAAGGTGGGACCACAGATGTGGCCAGGGAACAGAAATCGCGGCCAGCCCAGCCAGAAGACGGTGAGGTAGTCTGGAAGGTGTAGCCAGACTGGTCCAGTCATCTCAGCCTCTCATGACAGCTGGTTTTCAGAGATGGTACCAAACAATTCCTCTCCTAGATACACAGGCTGCTCTTCCCATCAAAAGGTAAAACTTATTTATCTTCCCTTTGAATCTTGACTGGCTCTGTGACTGGCTTTGACCTGAAGTGGCATTTCTGGGACTTCTCTACCCAGATCTGAAGACATCTGACAGCTCACCATCTCTTAGAACACTCACTCTTAGGATGCTCTCTCTTGGAAGAAGCCCAAGCCACACACTGGCTACATGGAGAAGGGACTGCCCAGGTCAACAGCCCCCGGCTGAGTGCCCAGCTGGCAGCCATCAAGATGACCCATCTTGTTGTGCTCCAGCCCAAGCAAGTCCCAGATGACCTTGACTGATACCACATAGGCAAGAAGAACTTCCTAACCACGCCCACTTAAAACTCACAGGGCCATGAGAGAGAACAAATTAACTGTTGTTTTAAATCATTGAGTCATGGGGTAATTTGCTGTTCAGGAATACCTAATCAAAACAGCTACCCATGAGCCAACTTTATCTAATCATGGGTAGGCTTGAACCTAATCTGATACCAACAAGACTCATTTCCTTTCTGATGGCAAAACCAAGAGGTATGAGGCTCCATTCTATAAAGAAAATCAAGTCAAAAGATTTGACTTTCTGCAGTCAGAAAGCCCCGTAGAAGCTTGAGTTCCAATTCCAGCTGACCTGAGATTAGCCCACCCAGCCCTTCCCCAGTCAACCAGACCACATTTACCCGAGCTACTTTGAGTTGGGTTTCTAGCACTTAACAACCCATAAGCCTTGATGATGATGCTGATTCAGGATTTCTTTTGGTTTTATTTATTGTGTATTTTCATCGTATTTGAAAGGGATGGGAAGAGAGAGAGAGAGCAACAGAGAGGTTTTCCATCTACTGGTTCACTCCCCAAATGCCTGCCACAGTGGGGACCGAGCCAAGCCAAAGCCAGGAGCTGGGTCTCCACACAGGTGGCAGAGACCCAAGCACTTGAGCCATTGCCTGCTGCTCCCTAGGGTGTGCATTAGCAGGCACTGGGGTCAGCACCAAGCTGGGACTTGAATCCAGGCACTCTGATAAGGGATGCATGAGTTCTGGGTGACATTTTAGCCACTGGACCAAACGCCCAGGATTTCTGAGGAAACTGAACTGAAAAGACCACCTATGCCTGCACCTGATGTTGACACCTGGTCCGTGGCCAACTCTCAGTAAGGGAGTGTTCTCTTTCTCCTTTGACCTGCCCTGCCCACACCCATACCTGCAGAAGGCCCTGTGGTAGAAAGGGGGATGAAAGAGATAGACAAAGTGCATACGAAGTAGGCTTTTTGTGGGTTTCGTCCCCAATGACCCTGTGAATGCCGGAGAACAGGGACTATTTATTCAGTGCCCAGAACAGGATGAAGCCCAGAAGAGGGACTTTTAAAACATTTGCTGAGAGAGGCCGGCGCCGTGGCTCACTAGGCTAATCCTCCACCTTGCGGCGCCGGCACACCGGGTTCTAGTCCCGGTCGGGGAGCTGGATTCTGTCCCAGTTGCCCCTCTTCCAGGCCAGCTCTCTGCTGTGGCCTGGGAGTGCAGTGGAGGATGGCCCAGGTGCTTGGGCCCTGCACCCCATAGGAGACCAGGAGAAGCACCTAGCTCCTGGCTTTGGATCAGCACGGTGCGCCAGCTGTAGCGGCCATTGGAGGGTGAACCAATGGCAAAGGAAGACCTTTCTCTCTGTCTCTCTCTCTCTCTCACTGTCCACTCTGCCTGTCAAAAAGAAAATATTTGCTGAGAGAACGAGAGGAAAGAAGCTATATCCTCATCTGGGGCAGCAGGGAAGAGAGGCAGAGACAGGTTGAGGCAAAGAGGGAAGCAGAAGAAATCATACAGGATGATTTTAGTCCCTTCCGCTCTTGGCCCTTCAAGCTCCCCGCTCCCCCCTCCTGCCCCATATATGCCCGCACCAGCCTGTAGAAGGAAATCACGGGGCTGGCAGCAGTGACTCCAAAGTTCTCTGTCTTCTCTCGTCTTTCGTCATCCTGACATGCTTGCCCTAGAAATCCCACTCCATGCTTTTTTTTTTTTTTTTAAAGGCAGAGTGGTGGTAAATGATACATAGATGACAGACAAGATAGGTAGATAGAGAGTGCACCCATTCACTGGTTCACTCCCCAGATGCCCCCCTCACTGGCCACAGTAGAGAGCTGGCCTGGAAGAGGGGCAACCGGGACAGAATCCATGCCCCGACCGGGGCAAGAACCCCGTGTGCTGGCACCGCAGGCGGAGGATTAGCCTATTGAGCCGCGGCACCGGCTGGGCACTTTGACTTTAATAGGAGAAATATTACTGGAGATAAAGAAGTCCATTTCACACTGAGAAAAGAGTCCATTCATGAACAAAACATAATCCTTGTATGCCTTGCACAAAAGGCAAAAAGTGATGCAAAAAAGGTTAAAAAATGGGATGGGCAATGTTGTATTAGACAAAAAAAGAGACGGAAGAATCAGGGATAATGTACTACAAACCAGAACCCACACAGAAGACAAAAATATCTCGGCATCATTCTAAATTATACATGTATATAATCCACCAGCATGAAATTTTCCGAGCTAAACAGCACAGCCTCAAAATATACAAAGGGAATAACATTGGAAATAATGAAGAAAAGCAACTGAAGCATAATCTTAAAAAATGTGTTTTACAATCTCACACAGCAAAACGTGAGTGAACAGTTCTGTGAGTGTTGACAAACGCAGGCATGTAAACACCAGCACAGTCAAGTACAAAACAGCAACCCCCTCAAAAATGCATTCCTGTTGCCCCTGTGTGGTCAGATGCTCCCTACCCTAGAAACCCTTTGGCCTATCCTCCAGCCCCATGGTTTTGTCTTTCTCAGAATGCCGTATGAAGGAATTATATAGTCTTTGAGTCTGGCCCCTTTTTATACAACATAATCCTCTGAGAGTCTTCCTAGTATTACGTACGTCAATCATTCCATTTCATTGCCAAGTAGTGTCCCCCGGTAAGGATGGATCACAATTCACTTATCCATTCACCCACTGAGATGCCTTTGCGTGCTTCCTGTTTGGGGGGATGAAACACAATGTTGCTATAAGCATTCACACACGGGATGCTATGTGAACCTAAGTTTTCATTTTTCTTGTGACCCAGGGACTGCTGGGTCATATGGTGAGTTTAACTCAAAATGGCTCCCCAACTATCACTCCCAAACATGGTAATGACGCAGAACTCCCGTCGCTCTGATTCCTCGCAGGAATCTGGTATCTGAGGCATAATATTTTTAAATTTAGTTTTTAGGGTTTTTTTTAAGATTTATTTATTTATTTGAAAGGTGGAATTAGAGACAGAGAGAGAGATCTTCCATTCACTGGTTCACTCCCCAAATGGCCACAACAGCCAGGGCTGGGCCAGGCCAAAGCTAAGAGCCAGAAACTTCACCCGGTCTCCCACATGAGTGCAGAGGTCCAAGCACTTGGGCCATCATTCACTGCTTTCCCAGGTGCATTAGCAGGGAGCTGGATTGGAAGTGGAGCAGCAAGGACTCAAACCAGCACCCATATGGGATACCAGGGCTGCAGGCTGCAGCTTTACCCACTACACCACAGCGCCTGACCCAAAGTATAATCCTTTTTAAAAAGATTTATTTATTTATTTGAAAAGCAGAGTGACAGAGAGAGGGAATAACAGAGAGATCTTCCACCTTCTGGTTCATTCCCTAAATGGCCACAACCACCAGTTCTGGGCCAGGCCAAAGCCAAGAGCCAGGAACCCCAAACTGGTCTCCAACCCAGGTGGCAGGGGTACTTCTGCTGCCTTCCCAGGTGCATCAGCAGGAAGCCGGATTCAGAGCAGAGGAGCCAGGACTCAGCCCAGCACTCTGACGTCGGATGCTGGTGTTGCAGGCTGCGGCTTAACTCGCCGTGCCACAGCGCCCTTTCCTGCAGCATAATGCTAACCCGTGCCTATCCATCAAGGAGAGCACACACACTTCTAACCACATATATAATACACAAAATAAAGATGTCGACAATGTCATTACAACAAATTAAGGTTAACAAATATTTCATATTACATTTTTACACGATAGTGACAACATCTTCAAGAATCTGTGGAATACACATAAAAACTGATCATATTTTAGGTCACAAAGAAAGCCTGCACACACTTCCCAATGTAGAGACGCCACCATGACGCAATACCTGTGAGCAGAAGAGCAGTGTACGCAGAAAAAGAGCATCTAGAGGGTGCTGGGCCCCGGTCAAAACAGTTATTGCTTTGGATCAAAGAAGAATTTTAAAATTAAATTAATTTTCATTTTATTTGAAAGGCAGGCAGGGAGAGGGAGCGAGTGCTCCAGGCAGAAGCCAGGGACTCCATGTGCTTAACCCATCACCTCCTGCCTCCCAGGGTGCGCATCAGCAGGAAGCTGGATTTGAAGCAGGGCAGCACTGGAGCCCAGGCCGTCTGATATGGGATGGGGCCCTCCTAAGCGGTGTGCTAACGGTAGTGCCTGCCCCAAATGGAAAAGAACTTCTAAGGAAAATGCAGGAAGGCGGTAGACAGGCAGAGTTCCCTCTCCACAGGTCTTGGAGGGCCGGTCCGTGTCCTTACTCATCTCCCTGGACATCCAGGGACCAGCACAGGGCCTGGGCTCCCGAAACGCACGCAGTCAACTCTGCGAAGCACTTCGCGCTTTCCCAGGCACGGCCTCTCTGCTTTGGGCTTCTCATAGTTGCATTTTAGCATTCAGTGAAGTATTGCCATCACAGTTTGCCCCATCACCTCAGTCCTATCAAACATACGTTTAGTTACCACTCACAATGTGCTGGCTGGCTGACATTAATTCACCTAGTCCTTGCAACTGTGAGGGGATATTCCTAAATTTTCAGAAAATGAGGCTCAAGAAAGTTAAGCGACTGAGGTTATAAAGCTCTTTCTATTACGTTACTTGACTCCTGAAGGTTTTGTTCATCTGTGTAACCTCAGTTCGTAGCCTCGCTCATGGCACAGAATACCTCCTGCTAGCCATGAATTGCTTGTCTCCTGTGGTCTGTAAATTTCCCTTAGTGTACTGTAGAGAGCTGCTAACACCGAAGGATTCAGACTCACTCAACGTGTCTACCTGCGTTGCTCTAGGCTCCCATCTCTATGGTTAGCATGTGGGCACTCTATACTCAGGAGGACCCAGAGAGTACGGCCAATCATCAGGCCGCCATGCAGTCACATGGTCGGAAGTTTCATTCGTTATTGGCTAAAAAACGGGAGGGCCCGCCCAATCACTTCCGGTCTGCTCCTTTAAGTAAAAGTGCTTGCGGGTTAGTGTCCTTTCAGAGACTGCGACGGTAGGAAGGTGAGGTTCCGGTGGCTGAAGGGCAGCTCCGGCCTGGGGCGCTGGGCCTGGAGCAGGGTGGAGGGCGAGCGGGCGGTCGGCGGTGATGACATCCAAATTAAAGCACGTGTTAGACTGCTGATGCGGGTGATGCGAACTGGAGTCTGAGCAGCCGCGGCAGAGGCGGGGAGGCTTGCGGGCGGTGGGAGCCCTCCCTGAACCCCCATTGTGGTTCTTGCAGGTCCCGGCCGCCGGATTTGAATCCGCCCCAGCGCAGGAAGAAGTCGGACTTGAATCAGCCCCAGCGCAGGTTCAAGTTCCCCCGCCCACCCCTCCGAGCTTCTCAATAAAGGACTTTGTTCTCATCGCTGGTGTCCGTGTGTCCGCCGCCACGCGCTGCCTTTGAGCCCCCGTCGCGCCTGCGCGTGGCGCCGGGGGTCAGGCTGCAGCGCCAGAGCACGAGCTCGCCCATAACTGGGGCCGCCTGTACCTCGCAGGCCGCCCTTTTAACCGCGAGCGACAGGGCGGCCGGGGCTGGCGCCCGGCTTCCGCGCGAGGGGACCTGCGCCATCCCAGGGCCGCGCGGGGAGGGCCCTGGGAGGGGACGGAAGCCAGCCACGCCCTGGGGAAGCTAAGGGCTGGATCTCTGAAAGATCAGGGGCCGGCGCTGTGGGCTAAGTCTGCGCCTGCATGAGCCGCCGGTTCGAGTCCCGGCTGCTGCTCTCACCCTCCAGCTCTGCCTGGGAAAGCACAAGATGGTCCTGTTGGGCCCCTGCACCCACATGGGAGAGCTGGGAGAAGCTCCCGGCGCTGTGGCCATTTGGGGAGTGGACCAGCAGGTGGACGTAACTGCCTCACATTTTAAGAGCTGTTTGAAAGGCCAAGTTACCCGTAGATCTCCATCCGCTGGTTTAACTCCTCGGATGGCAAAAGCTATCGCTGCTTGGGCGAGGCCGAAGCCAGGAGCTTCATCCGGATCTGTCGTGTGGGTGCTGGGCCCAAACACCTCGCCCATCTCCCTCAGCTTTTAGCAGGGAGCTGGGTCGGAAGTGGTCCATCCGGGAAATGACCGGTTCCCACGTGGGGATGCTGGCTTCCACGCAGCTGCTTGGCCTGCATGCCACAGCGCCGGCCTGGGCCTTGACAAGTGCTAACCCCTGGTTGCGACCTACTTAGAAACAATGGGTCCGGGGTCAACTGCCCGAGCTTTGGGCAAGTTAACAAGGTTTCGGTTAGCCCAGCATGATCGCAGCCTGCCATTAGTTCTCCCAGCTGAGGGGAATGCACAGGGCAGCAGCGGTAAGGCAAAGGGTGTGCAAGTGAGGGGGGTTCAGAACTAAGGCAGCATTATGGCGGCCGAGCGGCACTCGACCTCAGACCCATACCGCCAAGAGTTGTTTGCACCAAATAGCAAGTAAATTGCAAGCCTCCAGTTACCAATCTTTAGTTCTGTCTCCTTTTCCCCTTAAAGCTGTTGTGCTTCATGGCTCTGGGAGTCTGAATGGCTTCCTGAATCAGACCTAACCGCACCCTCCACTGGTGACCACTCAGTAGATGAAAGCTACTGCCCTGTGAGACGTTCATCTGAAAGCATTTAGTAGAAATGACTTGGATGCTTGCCTAGTATTTGACATGAGATATTTATTTTGTGAAACAATGCAAGCGATTGTAAATTCCCACATACTGTTCAAGTGCAATAAGGTACAGTCGTGTAATCTCTACACAGTAGTGCATCTAGTCCTTTGCCTTTAGTTATTGCACAAAAATGATAAAGACCAGTGAACAAGACATGCGGACTCTGACACACAAGTCAGCTACACAGTGAGAAAGTAGAACAGTACACAGACTGGAATGGTCCAATAATTTAAGTCATGTTTTAATGGTGTGATTAAAATAATCAAAAGTTCAAATATACTTTTTCAATATATTAATTTCTTTAAAGTCATGTTCAGGCAGGTGCTGTTTAAAAAACCACTATTAGCTTTGTCCACAGATGTAAATTATCAAAAGTTACCCCAAGGTAATTTTGACATGACTGCAGCGTTTAACAATAAAAAACTATTAAGTTTACTTTTTAAACAGCAAATTATACAATAGAGCCCCCAAACTTGTAAACTAAACATTCTGACACAAATGCACAAAATTAAGTTGGCAACATTGAAGAAGGGTCACATGTTCATTTTGAGATCATGTAGTGTTTGATGTTGAGCGAACTTTGGGTCTTGACTCTTGAAATAATTAGCAGTTCTCTGTTTTGGCTATCATTAAAGGAAACTGCCTGCAAAATGAGCCCAAACCAACTAGAAGGACAAGCGTTTAGATTCCTATGTAAAGCCTCTTGGAACCCAGGAAATGCCAGCTAGGTTTCTGGCCCCACCCCATCCACATGAGAGAAACAAGTGAGTCATATGCAGGTGTTTTAAAATTTTCACGTATGCTCATGGTGTCAGGAAAACACTCAGGACTAGTTAGAAACCAGGTGATTATACCTCATTGGTAAAAGGCTTGATCTCATGGCTTTGCCTGATGTTCACATACAAATCCCACTGTCCCCACCCCAGCTGATAGTGTGTGTGTGTGTGTGTTCTATGGCTACTTGCTTCCAAAATGCACAATTTAGTAGGAAAAGTTGCTATGCCTATGTCTTTATCACCAGTGAAATGGCTCACAGAATGCTGCTCCCACCCTCCACACTACCACACGTGACAACCTCTGCAGTTCAGGAGGGTTGTGATCGCCTACAAAGTGTAGAAGTGACAAGAAGTTCCACCGCACACCAGCTGCTGAGGGGAGCTTGGGAGGAGCCCAGGACGGGAGCCTTCCAGTTGTACAGCTTTGCTCCTCGTGTGCTCATTGGCTGCTGTGACATCTGGCAGACAAAGCAGCCATGGTGTGAGTCACCTGTAATGTCTGGACCCACCATGATGACTCTTCCAGTCTTTGCCAAGTCCAAGCTTTGCAGCAGGCCATCCAGACACCTGTCACTGGACGTGGGAAATGACACCTCACAGTGGAATGGGCACCGGCAGGCAGAGGGCAGAAGCATCCTTTGAGAAACAGTAGCTGTGGCACAAGAAAAGGCCAGTGCCACAGCAAAGATGGCAGCCAAGAACCCCACACCTTGAGCCAGGTCTCGTAATACTGGGCACTCGACCTTGACCCATCACGGCTGATCAGCAGCCTCCACAAGCAGGTCTTTCAGGAGGCAGGAAGTGGAACGAGGGTCCATGGCCGAGTGCATTATCGGGATATAAACATCGTCCATGTTTGGCATGACAAAAACTTTCTGTAGGAAGACATTAAAGAACAGTCATGGGAGAATGCTTTGTCAGACTGTCACCCTGCTTTGTTCTGATAATTTTATGTTTTAGACACACTTTTAAAATTTTTTTTTTTGACAGGCAGAGTGGACAGTGAGAGAGAGAGACAGAGAGAAAGGTCTTCCTTTGCCGTTGGTTCACCCTCCAATGGCTGCCGCAGCCGGCACACCGCGCTGATCCGATGGCAGGAGCCAGGAGCCAGGTGCTTTTCCTGGTCTCCCATGGGGTGCAGGGCCCAAGCACCTGGGCCATCCTCCACTGCACTCCCTGGCCACAGCAGAGGGCTGGCTTGGAAGAGGGGCAACCGGGACAGAATCCGGCGCCCCGACCGGGACTAGAACCCGGTGTGCTGGCGCCGCAGGTGGAGGATTAGCCTATTGAGCCGCGCCGGCCTAGACACACTTTTAAAAATAGGGAAACATTTCCTATACATTCCAAACAAATTCCTCCAAGATGCTTTAATTTAGAAAGAGTAGAGGAACCACAGAGTGATTGAATACAAGAACCAATAGACCAACCCTGTGGCAAGCGCAGCCTTTCATATACATACGATAAAATCACTCACATGAACTGATAAGCAACATTAACTTAGAATTGGCTTAACTGCTGACCCTATTTGCAAATTACTATGGTCAGAATACACACCCCAAGTGAATTTATGCTTTCAAATCCTAGCAGTGAACTGTAAACTAGTATTGTTTTCCAAACCAGCAGCACCTCATAACACTCTGAAAGAAATCCTGCTACATGAACACACCAGGACGCCGAGCGGCTGAGGGCGGGGCACCGCGCCCGTCTGTTCATAGAACGGCTTTCCAGGTGAAGTTTGGCGGTGCCCTCTGATCAGGCTCTTACCAAACATCAGTGAAAGCACTGGGTCTCCACACGAGGGCGCTGCAACTTCCCTCCAACTTCCCGACCTGTCTCAGAAAACGCCAGGCACCCACCTCTGCCCCCTCTCCCTCTAAAGGGGATGACCTACCCAAATTCCTAATGATGGGCTTAGGGATAGAAGAGAAAGCCAAAAGCTTCTTTCTCCAACTAGTTCACAATACCTTTCCATTTCGTGATAAAAGGAAGCTTTTCACAAAACTGGTTATCAGTTGTATTTCATTCCAGTTTTTAAATAATATTATGAAGATAATTATAAAACTCATGGAACTATGGAATTAAAAGATAAACTATATAGTTTTTTTTTTCATAATTGCATCTTCCATGAACTTTTTGAAAACTCCATTTTTTTTTAAAGGCAGTAACTCAAAACACACCACTCTAAGAAGCACGCAGGTCATTTTCAAAAATGAGACTCACCACAAGGCAAATAAATTGTTAATGCATAAAATCTACAAGACAGCCGTGCCTCGAATATCTCAGAAAATGTGATGGAACTCGCTCAGGGCAGGGCCTCAGCCGTCAGCATCTTTGGTGGCAGCACGCGGCAAGCAGGCTTGGAGAAGGCGCTCTGGGGGTGGGCGCAGGCGGCACCTGGCGCCCGGAACAGCTTTCCCACCACGGGCCAGGCTACTCGCTGGCCACTGCCAGGCCGCCCGCGCGAGCCCGGGGCGCGGGGGAGCAGCGGCCTCCCGACCCGCCTGCACCTTTGGGGCTTCCTCCGCCGGCTACTTAGCGCCGTCTTGCACGCACCCGGGAGGGGACCCCGACCCACGGCAAGCCCGCGGGCTGGGCCGGGCTTACCTGAAACTCTTGCTCCAGCTTCCTCTCTATCCAGTCTGTCACGTGAACGAGGGTCACCTCTCTCTCTCCGAGCTTCGGCCGGGCTTTGAGCTCCACGTGCGGTGGCTTCCGGAAGCCGTACCTTTTTGAAGAGAATCGCCACGTTTAGACGCAGAGAAATGCCCGCGAGGGGCCACTCTGCCAGCGCCCATGCCCGGCGGGCCGGCCGGGACGCACCGCGGGCAGGGCCAGGCTAGGCCGTGGGCATGGGGTTTTTCCTAAAGTGGCAACGACCCCTCTCCTTCCTGTTGTCCTGAAAGCCACCTGTGTGCTACAGAGCCCCACACAGAGCACACGCGGCGGCCTGTGCC